AGTTACACCAGGAGTTACACTGGGACCGGCGCTGGGAGTTACACTGGGTCCAGCGCTGGGATTTACACTAGGACCGGCGCTGGGAGTTACACTGGGAGTTACATCAGGGCCAGCGCTGGGAGTTACACTGGGACTGGTGCTGGGAGTTATATCGAGAGTTACACCGGGACCGGCGCGGGTAGTTAGCCTGGGAGTTACACCGGGACCGGCGCCGGGAGTTACACCAGGAGCTACACTGGGACCGGCGCTAGGAGTTACTCTGGGAGTTACACCGGGACTTACACCGGGACCGGCGCTGGGAGTTACACCGGGTGTTACACCGGGACCCGCGCTAGGAGTTACTCTGGGAGTTACACCGGGACTTACACCGGGCCCGGCACTGGGAGTTACACCGGGACCGGCGCTGGGAGTTACACTGGGAATTACACCGGGACCGGCGCTGGGAGTTTCACCGGGTGTTACACCGGGACCGGCGCTGGGAGTTACACCGGGAGTCACACCGGGACCGGCGCTGGGAGTTACACCGGGAGTCACACCGGGACCGGTGCTAGGAGTTACACCGGGTGTTACACCGGGTGTTACACCGGGACCGGCGCTGGCCGCGGAGCTGCTGATGCCCCAATAGCGAGAAGCTGCATCCAGGATTTGAAAGGGATCGGCGGTGGCGGCTGCTCCGGTTCAGGGGGATGCAGTCGGTTTGTCGGAGGATGAAACCCCGAGCGCGGAGGTTGCTGCTTTCCTGCCCATTCTCCAGGGGCTTGCAGGTACCGGGGCCCCGGGGGGAAAGGCCGGGACTAGCGGCCTCCCGGCTCCCGCTTTGCAGAGATTGACTGCGCTCTGGGGCCGGGGCTAGATGCCAGCGATCTCCCTTTCTTTCTCTCACTGGCTCCGTGCGGCCTCACTGGCAGCTGCAAGCCCCGGCACTGGCTCTGCACCGACTGCAGATGCTCAAAGAGAACGAGCCGAGAGCTGCGCAGCCAGGGCTCTGGGCACGACCAGGATCGTAATCAAGGCTTTCAGCCTTAAGCATGGTCACACAGTAAACTAGGACTGTGGCACTGGGCCTGCTGAGGGGGGGCCGGGGTTAGTGGACAGAGACCCTTTGGTCAGACAGAAACAAAGAGTAGGAATAAACAGGGCATTTTCAGAGTGGCAGGCTGTGATTAGTGGGATCTGCAAGGATCAGTGCTTGGATCCCAACTATTCACAATATCTCTATTAATGATCTACGTGAGGGAACTCAATGTATTATCTCCAAGATTGCAGAGGACACAAAGCTGGGTGGGAGGGTAACCTGTGAGAAGGATGCAGAGATGCTTCAGTGTGTTTTAGACAAGCTGAGTGAGTGGGCAGATGTGTGGCTAATGCAGTATAATGTGGATAAATGTGAGATTATCCACTTTGAGAGCAAAAACAGAAAGGCAGGTTATTGTCTGAATGGCTATAAAATGAGAGAGAGGAATGTGTAATGAGATCAGGTGACCACAGATAGCAGTCACTGAAACCAAGCATGAGGCAAATGGTCAAGAAGGCAAATGGTTTGTTGGCCTTCATAGTGAGAAGATTTGAGTACAGGGGCAGTGATGTCTTGCTCAAGTTTTACAGGCTTTGGTGAGACTACACCTGAAATGTTGTGTGCAGTACTGATCTCTTTAACTGAGAGCGCAGCAAAGGTTTACCAGACTCAGGATGGCAGGACTGACGTATGAGGAGAGGTTGAATCAGTTAGGGTACTCATGGAAACCTATAAAATTCTAACAGGGAACAGGGTAGATGCACAAAGGATGTTCCCAATGGCAGTGGAGTCCTGTAGCAGGGGTTACAGTCTAAGGATATTGGATGAACCCTTTAGGACTGAGATGAGGAGAAATGTGTTGACTCAGACAGTGATGAGCCTGTAGAATTCACTGCCACAGAAAGTAGTCAAGGCCAAACAGTTGTATGATTTCAAGAAGGAATTGGATATAGCACTTGGGGCTAAAGGGATGAAAGATATGGGGGCAAAGCAAGAATAGGCTATTCAGTTGAATGATCAGCCATGTTCATCATGAATGGTGCAGCAGACTTGAAGGGCCAAATGGCCTGCTCCTGCTCCTAGTTTCTTTGTTTCTATGTGTAGAATTTGGAAATAAAAAGGGAGTAGTCACACTGAACGGAGTCTATTATAGGCCCCCAAACAGTCAGCAGGTCATTGAGGAGCAAATTTTTAAACATTTCACTGAGGTGTCTGAAAGCAGTGATAGGGTTATTATATTTGTTATTTTTTTTCATTTGTGGGAAGTGGGCATTGCTGGCTGGGCCAGCATTTACTGCCTATCTTTTGTTGCCATTGAGAAGGTGGTGGTGAGCTGCCTTCTTGAACCGCTGCAGTCCCTGTGCTATAGGTTGACCCACAATGCCATTAGGGAGGGAAGTCCAGGATTTTGATCCAGTGAGAGTGAAGGGATGGCAATATATTTCCATTTCAGGAAGGGGAACTTGCAGCGGGTGGTATTTCCATATATGTGCTGCCCATGTCCTTCTAAGATGGAAGTGGTTGTGGGTTTGGAAGGTGCTGTCTGAGGATCTTTGGTGTATTTATGCAGTGCATCTTGTAGATAGTACACACTGCTGCTACTGAGCATCTGTGGTGTAGGAAGTGAATGCTTGTGGATATTGTGCCAGTCAAGCGGGCTGCTTTGTCCTGGATGGTGTCAAGCTTCTTGAGTGTTGTCGGAGCCTCACCCATCCAGGCAAGTGGGGAGTATTCCATCACACTCCTGACTTGTGCCTTGTAGATGGTGGACAGGCTTTGGGGAGTCAGGAGGTGAGTTACTAGCCTCAGTATTCCCAGTTTCTGACCTGCTATTGTAGTCACTGTGTTTATGTGGTGAGTCCAGTGAGTTTCTGGTCAATGGTAACCCCAGGATGTTGATAGTGGGGGAATTCAGTGATGGTAACACCATTGAATGTCAAGGGGCAGCGGTTAGGTTGTCTCTTATTGGTGATGGTCATAGCCTGGCATTTGTGTGGCGCGAATGTCACTTGTCAGCCCAAGCCTGGATATTGTCCAGATCTTGTTGCATGTGAACATGGACAGCTTCAGTATCTGAAGAGTCACGAATGGTGCTGAACATTGTGCTAACATCGGCGAACAGCCCCATTTCTGACCTTATGATGGAGGAAAGGTCATAGATGAAGCAGCTGAAGATGGTTGGGCCTAGGACACTACCCTGAGGAACTCCTGCAGAGATATCCTGGAGCTGAGATGACTGACCTCCCACAACCACAACCATCTTCCTATATGTCAGGTATGACTCCAATCACTGGAGCATTTGCCCCCTGATATCCATTGATTCCAGCTTTGCCAGGGCTCCTTGATGCCACACTCGGTTGAATGCAGCCTTGATATCAAGAGCTATCACTCTCACCTCACCTCTGGAATTCAGCTGTCTTGTCCATGTTTGAACCAAGGCTGTAATGAGGTCAGGAGCTGAGCGGCCCTGGTGGAACCCAAACTGGGCATCACTGAGCAGATTATTACTGAGCAAGTGCTGCTTCATAGTACTGTTGGTGACACCTTCCATCACTTTACTGATGATTGAGAGTAGGATCGACTGATGGGGTGGTAAGTGGCTTGGTTGGGTTTGTGCTGTTTTTTATGTACAGGACATACCTGGGCAATTTTCCACATTGTTGAGTAGATGCTAGTGCTGTAACTGTACTGGAAGAACTTGGCTAGGGGAGCAGCGAGTTCTGGAGTATTATTGCCAGAATGTTGTCAGGGCCTTTGCAGCATCTACGGTTTCAAACATTTTTTATTCATTCATGGGATGTGGGCATCACTGGCCAGGCCAGCATTTATTGCCCATCTCTAATTGCCCCAGAGGGTAGTTAAGAGTCAACCACATTGCTGTGGGTCTGGTGTCATATTTAGGGTGGACTAGGTAAAGATGACAGATTTCCTTCCCCAAAGCTCATTAGTAAACCAGATGGGTTTTTCCGACAATTGACAATGGATTCATGGTCACTATTAAACTCTTAATTCCAGACTTTTTTTATTGGATTCAATTTCCACCATCTTCCATGGTGAGGTTCAAACCTGTGTCCCAGAACATTATCTGGGTCTCTGCATTAATAGTCGAGTGATAATACCATTAGGCCATCATCTCTCCTTGGTTTCTTGACATCACATGGAGTGAATTGAATTGGCTGAAAACTGGCATCTGTAATGCTGGCGACCACTGGAGGAAACTGAATTCAACTAATTAGGACAATTATAGTTTAGAGAGGGCAGATTTCTTGAAATGCATAGAGGAGAGCTTTTTATATCAACATATAGATGGTCCAACAAGGACCAGTGCAGTGCTGGAACAAATTGTGGGGATGAAGCTGGACAGATGTTTGAGGTAGCAGTGGGGAAGCATTTTAGTGATAGTGACCGTGGCATCATACATTTTAAGTTTGTTATGGAAAATGAGGAAAAGGGCTGCAAAAACTGTTTTGGATTTATGGGAGGCAGGTTTTATTAAAATGAAGCAGGATCTGTCTAAAGAAGACTCAGACAATGACTTCTGACTGAATCTACAGCAGAACAGTGGGGCTGGGGGCATTCAGAAAGAAAATGGCAAGAGTACAGACTCAACATGTTCCCTTTAGGATGTAATGTAAGAACCAAATCAGAGAACTCTGGATTTTATCGAAATATTTAAGACCAGATAAAAAGGAAAAGAGAGACATTTAACAGGTACAAAAGGAGCAAATCAATGATAGAAAGTGCGGGGGTGGGGGTGTAAAAAAACAATTATGAGAGCATGGAAGGGGCATGAAAAAGCACTGGCAGACAAGGTCAGGGAGAATCGCAAGATTTCTATCCTCGTATTTCAAGGAGAAGAGAATAACCAAGAAAGAATGGGGCCTATTAGGAACCAAGGGGAAATTTGTGTGTGGAGCCTGAGTATACTGGTAGTGTTGAATGAATACTTCGCAATCTGTCTTTAATCAGGAGAAGAAGAATATAAGTACAGAATTCAGGAAGACGGACTATGAGGTTGACATAGGGAGTTTTTGAAGGTTTTGGCAGGCTTACAAGAGGACAAATCCCCAGGTCAGGATGAGTTGTATTGCAGGCTGCTATTGGAGATGAGGCAGAAAGTCACTGATCCCTGACCCAAATTTTTAATTCCTTTCTGGTCGCAGGGGAGGTGCCAAAGGATTGAGGACAGCCTCATGTTGTTCCATTTTTCAAGAAAGTTGGTAGAGATAAACCAGGCAATTACAGACCAGTGAATCTCATGTCAAGAGTAGGGAAACAATTGGAGAAAATTCTCAAGGAGACAATTAGTCTCCATTTAAAGAGGCAAGGTTTAATTGGGGATAGTCAGCATTGCTTTGTCAGAGGGAGGTCACGCTTAACAAATTTGATAGAATTTTTAGGGGAGATGACCAAGAGTGTAGATGAGGGTTGTGCAGTTGATGTGTTTGATATGGATTTCAGCAAAGCCTTTGACAAGTCCCACATGGGAGACTGATAAAGAAGTTAAAAGCACATGAGATCCAGGATAACTAGGGTCCCCTAGTTGAAGGGTCAATAACTTGAGGGCACACTGTTGAGGTGAAAGGTAAGAGGTTTAGAGGGTATCTGAGGAAAGGTGTTTTCATCCAAAGGGTGATGGGAATCTGGGATGCATTGCCTGGAGGATGGTTGAGGCAGGAAAGCTCACAACCTTTAAAAACTATTTGGCTGAGTACTTGAAATGTCATAACATTCAAGGCTATGGGCCTA